GGAAGCCTGAAATCATAGCGCTCTCAAAGCTGCACTGCCAACAATGTCAAAATTGAAGTTCTTAGATTTCTCTTATTTCCGTCGATGAGGCATCCTTTGCTGACGTCATAGTAAGCATTCGGCCAATTGATGTGGGCCGACCAGAGCGACGCTTTCGGTCGCTCACGACGCCAATACCCTGTTTCATCGTAAGGGCGAGCGAAGTCGAAAGCTACAGAAGTGAACCCAGAGGCCTTGGGCGTGCTTACCGTGCTCTGCTCGTATTATACGCTCGTGCGATGCGAGCGTGGTTCAAACCAAGGTGCCATTCGCGCTTTGACTTCAGCCTCGATCGCGCTTACGCTGGAACGGAATATTCAGCCTCTTTCGGAGAGCGTGCACATGTGTGTTTCTCGAAAGCGGGAAGAGTCCCTGTAATTAGTTGCAAAATACGCGCCTTTAACCGTGCCCCATCTGTCTCGAGGAAGAACGCTCTTTTGAAGCGGAGATAGTATACTTCCGGCAACTGCGAGAGTGCGGGAGGCAAGCAACCCGAGACGAAGTGGCTGCAGCACGCGAGTAATTTATGCGACTCTAAAAGCGTCCGGACTCGCGAGGCAAGCTGGCCGTGCGTTGCGGTCATGCCTTGGTGACTCTCCGCGAGGTCTGCAGCTCGCGGAGAGTCACCATGGCCAATCTGTGGCCGAACAGAACAGCGCGCCATCTCTGCGGCCTCCCGAGTCTTCCGGCGCGGACACTGGAGGGGGGAGGGAGATGTACGGAGTTCTCTCAGATACTTTACTTTATTTGGTTCTCTCCTGTTCAAGGTCCCTCATGCAAATTCTCTGCAAATGATGTCTTGCGTTTCGGCAAACTCGGGTACAAAGCTTTTCCGGGTTGAAAGGGCTCGTTCTTTGACTGAGGCGGTCTCGAATGGTCTCGACGCTATCATATACGAGGTGTCAGGGATTGATTTTGTAGTGTAAAAAGAGGGGGCAGCACAGTGATGTCCGCGCAGCAGTCGAAAGAAGGGACCTTCGTGTCTCGTTATAGCGAAGGGCTTCGCCCTGCGGACATTTAGAGCTGCGCTGCACCAATGTTTGTGACCACGTGCACGGGCACAATGGCGATCTCAAGCATAGTCTGCTAACCAAAGCGAGACCGAACATCAATTTTACGTCAGACTCGGCAAATCTAAAACAGAAACCTCTCAAATGACTTAGAAGGCTTATCTCAAAAAGCAGTGAGGTGTGCGAGGTGTTTCGAGTGGCTCTCGCGCCTCAAGAATGGCAAAACGTCTCTGAAGTCAAGAAGAGGTCGGATAAGGTCGCCCTTCCGCTCTTCGTCTTCCAGCGATGTTCTGCCGTTCCTGAAGCGCGAGTGCCACTTAAAACGCTTAGCACAATGCATTGCTTTTCGACACAAGCCTGCTGAATCATTTCAGAGGTTTTTGTTTTATGAATGCCGAGTTTGACGCAGAATTGATGTTCGCTCTCGCTCTGGTTTGCAGTCTGTGGTGAAGAACCATATTGGCCGTTTAAGCGAAGACCGGGTGATTGGGGGGAGTTACTCGGTCAGCGGTTTAAAAACAGTTCGCGGGGAACGGAGGAGCGAGGAGCTCGCATGCACTCTATACTCTATAGTATGCACCCATGCATTTATGCATTTTTGGCAGGTCTTGAACCATGTCGTTCCCGTCGTTACCAAATTGTACTTTCGTTGCTTTCAGTTCCATAACAAGGAATTGGGCGTTATTTCGACTCGGTATTTTATGCGAAAGCCTCCCGGAGTGTACATGCGCTTCGAGACATTGATTAACGTCTCTCAGAAGTTGCGGGGGTGTCCCTACTCGCTCGGGTCCGGAGAGGAGAATGGGAATTATGGAATGCGCAGAAAGACGATTTGACCGTCGCGGAAATAACACTCGCTATGCAAATTGAGGAATTCAATGCTGTAGCGATCAGCCTTCCGCCTACGTTTTCACAAGGAGGCTGTATGAAACATCGGACTTCCAGTTGCGTTTCATTTGCACATAATATATCCCTCCAATTACGTCGCTAAACTTCCACAATACATTAGACTATAATCGTCTGAAGATAATAACGGCGCGGAACAAGCCTCGGACAGATATTGCGGCAATATCCTTTTTTTTTTTTTTTTTTTAACGTTGGGGATAAGGGTATACGTGTTCCGTTAAAACCGATAATAGGTAGTTTTCGTATATCGTTTTCGCTGTAGCGCAAGGCTGTCCGCAACCCGGTACGATACCCGGCAACTCTACAACCAAGGCCGTCGGCGCGCAGGCGCAGTAGCGGCCTCTTCGTTGCGGAGGGCTTCGCGGAGGGGGAAACGCGGTCTACGAAAACTCCCTAATAGGGAGTTTTCGTAGATCGTTTTCCCTACTCTGCTACGCCCTCCGCAAGGAAGACGCCGCTAGTGCGCAGGCGCACCGCTGGTCTTGACTACTGAGTTCCGAGTCTCGTATCGGGTTGCGGACAGCCTTGCGGTACAGCGAAAACGATATACGAAAACTCCCTAATGTGCCTGGATCTGCGAAAATTTACAAGGCGAAAACGACCTGTGCTTGAGCGACTCGTGTTGCTTCGCGCATTCAAGAAGTACGGGATCCGTATGTAAAGCATAAAAAAAGAGGGAGAGGAGGCGGGAGAAGTGGGGAGAGGGCCGAGTGACACCAGAGGTTACTGTGTCGACTCGAAAGCCGCGGAATCTCCGAGTCAGGCTCACTCACCAATTTTGAGCAAGACCTCGCAATGGGTGGGCAGCTAACCTAGATAAACGGTCCACCGTCCCGCCGCGCTCCAAAACACGAGGTGATCTTGAAAGGGGCTCGGGCTTTCTTCTCTCGACGCGTCTTTTAATGGCGCGTGTCCCGCGGTGTCGGAGGTCGCGGACGATGTCCCTTTGCCGTCTCCGGAACGCAGCCGAGGGATCGTCGGTCGTTCTGGGGACCCGTGACGTTTGACTTCTCTAGCTTCGGTCTGCTTCCGAAGCTTTTGTCAGGTCGCTCTTCAACGGGGGTATTGTACTTTGTGGAGCAATTGACCCCTCACCCTCGTAGAAAGCCTCGTTGGGGCAAGAAAGGAAAAACAAAGACGCGTTGCGTGTGCTGCTACTCGCTTCATTTAGGGCCCACTAGAGGGTCGAACTCGCTGCTTAAAAAAATCTCAAATGCACCTTGTTATAATCCAGCCAGGTTTTTTTAAATGCGCGAAAATGGGTTATGTTATTCTACATCCCCGACGAAAACGAGACAATTTCATGCCCGTCAAATCGACTCCGCGGAAGAAGAGTCCCAGTGTGCTTCGGAATTTGTTTTATGTTTCGAGATTACCCTCTATCTTGCTTACTGCGCGCCGAGCTGTGACCGTCACTGTGCTCGGCTACCATGGCGTCAAACTTTTGGCATCGAGCGTTTACGAGAATGCCTGATGCCAAAAGGGGGCGCGAGCGCGCTTGCGTGTGTGAATGCCTTCAACCTCATCCAATTGGCCATTGTGTAAATTCCCGCAGCTACCGCTTTGAGACCCGCAAAAGTGCCGTTCGTGGCACTGCAGGTATTTTCGCCCAAGGTTGACCACTTGTTCCCATCGGTAGGGGGGCTGGGTGGTTTGAAAACTCGTTTGTCCCAGTGGTCGCGCGTAATCGCGGAGCCCGGTTCAAGGCTGGGTGTGGTTGGCGCTCCAGTTTTTGGGCCGCCTCGTTGTGGGCCGGCCGGCCTTTCAGGCGCCCCAGCACGACTGGCGCGGCGCCCTTGTCCGTCGGCTCTGCTGCCTCTCTCGGACTACGTGTGTCCACTCCACTGCCAACCGCTGGCGCAACAACGTGCGCGTTCAGACGTTCGGCGGCTCTCCTCGGCGGAGTGATCATTTCCGATACGGAACCGTTTTTGCTGCGCGTGCGCGCACCGGTCTGGGCCACGTCTGGCCGGTATGACTTTTGACAGAACCCTCGTGTTCTGTCGGAACGCTATGGTCTTATCGTAAAAACAAGATGTGTCTTTGAATGTCGCCTCAAGGAGACGTTTAAGTCACCCGATGCAACGAGCCTCATAATGGCGGCGTATCTGTGACTTCTTGTTCCCATGGTGATGTCCAGAGTAGAGCTCTAATACGTGCTTGAAAGATTTTAACGTCATCAGGTCTGGAAAACTGTCAGAACGCGTCGCCATCTTTCAGACTTGCATTGGCAGATAATGTTCCTAACTAGATACGTAGTACACAAAAGCCATCTACCTTTTTTCTTCTTTTTTAAGGATATTGACACGGATTCACGGAGGCCACGTGTAGACCATAGGGTTCCATGAAGTGGGGATTGTTACATGGACTTGGCGTGCCTCTCGATACGTTTGTTTCTATTGGGATGCATGATTGTGACGATATGTTTCCTGTTACCACACTGCCCTGCAAAAATCCTACATGAGCGGTCAAGAGCAGTGTTTTGTTCGTGTAAAGAAGACTTCGAACTTCCAGTCTCTCAAGGACAAACATTAGGAAATGTACCTGACATTGATAATTACCGCCAACAAATAAAATCTGCTGTGCGGTTTCGTTGAAAACACTTCAAAAATCAGTATCGTAAAATCGTAAAAGGAACATAACTCCCTTTCAGTAGTTGGTCCATCGCTGCTTCTGTCGAGCGCCGGAATTAAGCGGAAGTTTTTGATTGGTGGCCGCTTGTTCAGGGTGTGGACTGCTGCATAGGCCGTGCCTATGCTTCCCAGCTTCGGTTGTTGCTACTTTCCGATTATCTTCGTTCAGAAAGGTTGTCTATACTCTAGCCACCGCATCGCTGTCAGAAACTGCGGGATTGATGGTTCAGTGCATTGTTGGGACATGCGTGGCCACCGACGACGCTGTTTCCAAGACACAGAATTTTGTTGGCGTTGAAATTGACTGCTTTGTCGCGCGCTTTGGTTTGCTCCCGTACCGTCCTTGTTCACTGTATTTATGAACGAGTAAATTAGTGCGGCTGAGTGAACCTTGCTCCTCTTTTCCTTGCAGTGGAGACCTCAAGGACAAAGCTGCAAGATTCGGACTCTACGCCGCAGCCTCGGAGGCGACTAATAATGGCAGACATTGCCTTGCACCTCTCTTCGAGCTTCGATGTGAGTAGAGACCATTGTTGTGTGCCTGCACACTTATGGAACAGTACTTCGCACGGCAGAGGTACTTCACTACCCTTGAAATAAGTATATTCACGCTGATCAGCAGCTCTATTGAAGATCTAGAGGAAAAGGGCGGGGGGGGGGGGGGGGGGGGGGTATGTACTAATCACTACAACAACCGACTATAGTTTTCCCTTACAGTTTTTGGATCGACCGAATGTCGTACGAAGATTTAGTCCGTCGCCTGTGGGTCGCTCTCAGGTCACGGACTGGAAAGTTGGAACACAAGTCGAATATATCTTCTAGTTGTTATTTCGAAAATAGCGCTTAGTGGACCTTCGCTGTTGCGATCCGTCTCGGAAAGATGTATGTGGATGGCGTTCTTCATTCCAGGACGACGACTTGGACGAGACGCCGACTTCGCCCACCTGTGAACAGCCCCACTCGCTACCTGTCCAGCTTCGGCGGACTCCCCCGAGACCCACTAGGCTGCAATGGCAGAGCAAGCAGGGCTGCGGTGAGTTGGTCCCAGTCTCGCTGCATCCGGCAGCGACTTGGTCCTGTCATCGTCGGGCACCGAAGTCAAACGTTATTAGGCAGGCGAAGTGGTTGTTCATCGACATACCCAAAACGCAGGCAAAAAAAAAAAAAAAGGCGAACACAACGCTTCAATTGTGTTTGCCCTTCTTTTTGCCTCCGTTCTGGGTTTTCGTATGTCAATACCCAAGTGCACACGCTTTAATAGACTGCCAAGAAAGTACTACAAAATCGCGGCATGGGGTTCTTTCATAATCTGTAGCTTTTAGTTTCCTTTTAGCTGAAATATATATGTGCAGCTACACTGGCATGACGTACCTGTCAGCACACCCTACAGACGCGCGCAGACCTCGCTAGCCACCTCGGTGACTGCAGGGGAGACTGCCAACCTTGACTCCCAGTTAAATGGCGGGTTTGCTATAGTTAGACACAGCTCTTGAAGCGAGAGCAGGCCGATTTCGATTTTCGAAGTGAAGCTTTTTCAACATACCGAACAAAGAGCGCCTGAATCTCGGGAGTCAAGCCCAGTTGACTATGTGGTGAAAGAAACTTCAGCGTCACGTGACCGGGGCTAGCTCGCCGCCTTCCAGCTGTAGTAGCATGCTGGCTGCTGGCCGTGGTGCTGAAAGCTTGCGCGATGCTCTACCGCAGGTGACAGTCCGGACGTGACCACGACAGCGCTACTCAAGCAGAAGTTGGAACGGCGGCACAGCATCACCGTGTGCGAGTCTCCTTCGCGGCCGTCGCATGCCGCACTTTCCCGGGATGGCCACAGCAGCATCCGTGGCAGCCGACGTCCGGACAGGCTTTCCTTCGGTCCCCGTCCAGACTCAGGAAAAGAGAACTGGTCCATGGTAGGTGCACTTTTTGGGGGGCATACACGTGCTCCAAGTCGTTTCTTCGGGTCAATACCAAGTCCAAGGAGCGGTGACGTTATTGCTGCGCCGTTTGCACCAAACTGCGGCATTATTCCACCAAAATATGTGAGGAATTTGCGCCAGCATTACGCCCAAAGCTAATTTCGCTTTACCATAATGGAAACTAATCGGTCAGGCATCGCTACACTGTCGGATTGTTCTGGTCCGCTTGCGCAAATTTCGGAAGTTTTGGGATATTTCTCATTGTTTGGGGTCTGTTCGTGTTCGTACGGTTTAATTAGCTCCGTTGAGTGCCCTCATCGCGCACGAGTGCGCTGCTGAGAAGCTTTGCCCGCGGAGTAGACATCGCGATTCTGCATATGTCCCGTCGCCACAGCACACTCCAGGGTGGGGCGGTGCACGACCGTGCAACGGGTGTTCGAGAAAAGAAAAAAGTGATTAGAACTTGGTGAATGCTGATATTACAAGAGATACGTGGCAGTAAAGTTTCCTAAATAAAACTACAGTCAGTCTGTATGATCGACTTCGACATTCTGACAAGCTGCGTACATCATTGACTGCGTTTCACTTTTTTTTTTTTTTGTCTTCTGAGATATCGAGACTTTAAAGAAGGATACTTCGAACTTGGGTATCTCTTGAAGTGAAAGCTGAGCTACACTAGACGTTTAGTTTATAATTTAATTAACACCTCCAAATAGGTCCCCAACTGTTCGTGTACGCGGACGATAAAGTTTAACTTAAAACTAAGTTGACTTAAGCAATGCAAGCTTGGGAGTATGATTAATAGATGCTAGAAATTGTTGCACAGAAGTCGGAATGTGAAGAAACAGTGTATTTTAGTTGGGCAGGTCAACACATGAGTCTTAACAGTCTTCGCTGCGGAATAAATCAGAATGGAAAATGTGTTTGAGCTCTAAAAGTTAAGTTTACTGCTTCAAACTGGACTTCTGGTTGCTCCAAAAGGTGCTCCAAAACGACTCAAATCAATCACATCACCGCATGAGTGGTGTGTGGAAGGTCTTACATGGTGTTCGTCAGTGTACTGACGATCCTTGGTTCGCGTCGCAGGCGCAATGGGAGAAGTCGATGGAGTGCCTGTCGCTGACGTTGGAGGAGGTGGTGCACATCCGGAACGTCCTTACCAAAGCTGAGCTGGAGTCACTCCTGATGAATCGGCCACTCTACGAGGATGTGGAGAAAAGAAAAGTGCGTCTTTTGTGTAAAGCACGGCTCTAACCGCACTCAGAATGGCTGGACACCCGGACTCATCGCTGTGCTTTCTTTTAGGTTTGCTTTACCTGTAAGAAGACCAAGTTCTCCTTTTTTCGGCCTTGGGGCGTGAAGTGTAAGCTTTGCGAGCGCACAATATGCGACAAGTGTTCGACAAAGGTGAATATATATTATTTTACAAATACTAATTTTGCTCTTAGCTACTCGTCCCGCGAGGTTCCTTTTGGACAGGCACCTCGTTGGTACCGTGGGGACTGTGGCTAACACATGGCTCGATTCCGTGCAGATGCACATTCCCACTGATCGGTTTGATCGGATTCCCGTGTACATGCTGTGCCCCACGGCATCCGAAGAAGAGTCGCCCACTCACTCGCCGTTGCCGGCAGCCTTCCAGTTTGCCAGGTACGTCCCATTGGAGCGCATGGTGCTCCGGGCTCTTCTTTCGTCCGCGATCTAAGCGGGTCCTCTTTGTGCAGCGGTTCGGCTCCGTCGTCGCCCACGCTGAGCAGGCCCCCCGGTGCGACGTTCAACGCGCGACTCAACGTGACCGTGTACCCTCCGCCACCAGTGGCCAAGCTTCGGCACCGCGCCTCCGTGTGCAGTCCCCCCGGGGGCGGACGACGGCGCCCGCCGCTTCTGCGCTCGCGGACCTTCCAGCACAAGGCGAGCTCTCCCCAGGAGGAGCAGCTGCGCGGCCCGCTCATGACTGTCTGCCGAGACTGCAAGGGAATGATCCGCCACATCATCCTGGCTAGCAGGACCGACATGGCCAAGTCACGCAAGGGGGCCGCGTCCGCGTGCAAGCCTGCCTTGTGTCTGTCGCCCGTGGTCCAGTCGCCGTCCGCAAGCCCCGAGCCGCACCCGCAGCTCGCGGCGTCCGGCAAGGCACCCTTCTTTGTCAAGTGCAAGTGAGCAGTCAGCTCCCCCGACCACCCCCAGGTCCTCGCCGCCGCCTTACTCCTCCTGCTGTGGCGTCAAGACCGATCACCCTGGCTCTGGTCCCACGGTCGGAGTGCTCGTCTTTTGCCGTTTGTGCGGCGGGGACGTCGGGTGCGCCTAGAAGTTTAGCGGGGAGGTCCTACCGTCGATTAACTTGCCCCTCACAGCTGGTCATTGTCGATAAGCAAAAACCGACGAGGCGAGTGAGACTTCTGTCGATACGCATTAATCGTTAGGTGATGTCTGGCGCTCACGGAATTCCGCCTCGGTTCTGCACCAAGTTAACACGCTTAAAGGGGTACTCTGGCGTTTTCTTCATAGTACGCAATTTGTCTGAAAATTTTCTAAGCGAACAAACAACGCTGAAATGGTAATCCAAACATTAGGACATAATATTTTTTTTTTGTCTTGTTTGCGAAGTTATTGAGTTTACAATTTTGGTCATCGCCTTGTTTTTTCAAAGTGAAAGTCTACTGCCAACTATGAAAAAGTGACTCTAGCGGCGGACAGGGGTTCACCCTTTGCACTGTACTTCGTTTCAGCTTAAGTCCAAACGCAGCCGACGCTATGAGCTGATGGTACCAATCAGACAGCGTCAAAAGCGCACCATCATGGTGTTCTGTCATCGCTGAACCAAACATAAACGGAAAAGGCCTATAGTCCGTTGCAACTCGAGAAGGTAAGCCGAGAGAAAGGAAGACCGGGAGGAGGAAGCAGACTGAACGCTGGAATGAGGAGGAGGTTTGCCCCTCTCCTCTCCAGTGTTCCGTTTGCTTCCTCCTCCCCGGCCTTTCTTTCCCTCGCCCTACATTCTTGAGTTGCAACAGACTATGGCGACTTGCGCTTTTGACACGGCCTCATTGGTCCCATTACCTCGTAGCGTCGGCTGCTTCTGGGCTTAAGCAGAAGCGAAGTGTAGAATTTGTTCCCAACTGATTGCAGGTAGTTTCATGGTCTGAAATGAATCTGTCGGAAGCTCGCTTTCGATTTCACAATAACTTCTCAATTTCGCGATACTAAATAGCATACCTGAAATGGTATGCTATTTAGTATCCGGAGCCAGGGATTCAGAGATTAGAGTTAGTTGGTGTAGCTGAAAACAATGGCCGGAGTACCCCTTTAAGACATGACTCGTCTGTCTCAGGAATGCAACGAGTGAGTCTTTAGCAGTCTTTTGTGTGCTTATGAGAGCGTGTGATGAGAACATGAACAATTGCCAAATGGAACTAGTGTACAAACTCCCTTCGACATGAGCCCGCCTAGTTGGTGCAGTGTGACATCTGCCTTTCCTAACTGTACATAACGGCTTCTGGGCGGACAGGTCGCAGCAATATCAGACGCACCTCGCGTATATCAGACCGGCACGTCACTATTTTAGTCTTCTTGTACAGCGGATCGCACTGCACCGCACGCGTCCGCCTTCCTCCGACCTCGAGTGTGAGATGCTAATCGTGCGCCGTGTCTATCGGCTTTTAGTTGGGTCCAGCACCTTACTCTTACTGTAAATAGCCACCTTGCACTGTGTCAGCTAGCCTTGCACGGGCAGTGGCGTTGCCAGTTTTTATGCGATGGCACATTCCACGAAAGAGCTGGTCTTTTTTCTGCTGCTCCTTGGTTGTGACAAATGCCGGTTTCCTGGGTACTTGAATGTCGGCCAATAAAGAGCACTTTCAAGATTTCTTTGAACTGCATTTGAATCTCGATGAAATTGCTATCGTATCGGAAGGGTAGTGTGCAAATGTTTTATTGTTTAATGTGTTACGTTCGTGCCTTACCTGAGTGCACTTTTAACCCGCTAAATTTAGTGCAACTTGTATCGCGGTGATCATTTTTTTGTTTTGTATGTGTGCGTCTTTTGTGGATCCCACTCGATGAGAACTAGATATATTTATTTACACGTATATAGCGTGCAGGACATAGTGTTTTCCGAATTGTAAATATTTGTATTTAATGTGGCTTACTTTACTGAGATGTGTTTGCCACATGTGCGGTAATAAAAATTCCGTGAAACTGTACAGCTACTTTGTTGCAATTGTCTCTTTCTTCAACGGAACTGTGCAGTCTCGCACAAGGGATCGTTCGGGGCGCAGCTGCTGGCCCTGAAGGAACCGAGAGAGGAACTAGACGTTTTATGTACTCCCAGAAATATGTCCCGAGTCCTGTCTCACCACTCCTCACTCAGCTCGTGTTTGACATGCTAGAAAACTGGCGGCGGAAAACCCGATAATCGGAGAACTCGCCCACCTTAACACCTTACTAGAGAATCTCTAGATTCCGATAGTTCGCGCCTCTTGCTATTTAGCATGAGGTTTCCCCAGCATGACTTAATTCTGAGCACTTCAGCCATTCTGGTTTGGCACAGAATGTAACAGACTAAACGGAGGTGGAATCCTTTATAATCAAGCGATGCCATTATGTGTGTAGTTCGTTTCAGCCTAAGTCCAGACCCAGCCGATGCTACAAGCGCGAGCTCCTGGCATTCAGTGTCCCTGCCAAGCACGCGCGCTCTTGCAGTGCAAACACTGTTCAGGCTCACATGCTCGCGCTTGTAGCATCGGTTGCGTCTGGACTTAAAGGGGCCCTGCAATCATATTTAAAGGAGCTGTGCAACAATTTCAGGGCTTTGCTTAAATTGTTGTGGAAGTTGATGCCTGACACTTCTGAAATGAACTACAGAAAACAGATTTTGCCTGGATACCCTAGTTTTTATTAAAAAATGAAAAATATCCGGGTTTTCGCTGCCTCTCAACTCGTACGTCGTCTTCCGGGTCACGTGCACAGTGACGTTGATGGGGTAGGCGCGTGGGGAAAAGGTCTTTCTTTAGAGCCATCAGTGAGCAGCGAGAACTCATCCGCTCGCGACCGCGTGACCACGTGCTGGCGGGCGCCGCGCGAACAATACTGTGAAAGGAGGAAAGTCTCATCCCGGTCCGGCCATACCCGTCCGGCCCTGTCCGTCTCCCCCTTTGCCTTCTGGCGGCTGTTCGCGGTAGCAGAGACAGCTGACGGTTTTGTGAACCTAGGATAGATGGCGCCACTAAAACTCCGTATAATAAAAGTTTTGTCGATGATACCAGGTTTTTGACGCATTTATATGTATGTTGGAACGACAGGATTTATAGAAAGGTTACCTTTTATCGAGCAGATATTCGCACAACTTGCTATCTTTCTACAAGATTGCCCATTGACGTCGCACCGCGTGTTTCTCATGGCCGCCGCTCGCGGCTGCAAGTCGGGGAATATAAGTTTTGTCTCACTATTACGCGGCGGAATCGCAACATTTCGATGAAAGGAGGTATGTTTTCCTTCATTTGTGACAAGCTGAATAGTATTAAAAGCAGAAGATGCCAATTCTTTCACCGTTAAAATTTTTGCACAGCTCCTTCAAGCGTCTACCTTTTTTAGCGGTTTCCACGTCTCTTGGGGTTCGGGCAAGCCAGCGGGCACAGAGTGAGTAACTAAATATCGGTGTATTTTAACCGGACGACGCGAAAACCTCCTCCACCTACGCGGGCGACCCGCAGTGCCAAAAGCTCGCGATATGTGACGACATCGTGACGTTTTTGGTCATGGCCTTACTACTGGTTAGAGCCGCTAAAAGTTTTTTTTTAGTCGAAATACAAATGGCGCAAACCGTCTCAATTATTTATGAAAGTAGTTTTCAGTGTTTTAGATCAGAAAAGAAACAAATGCAGTTTATAAAGTCCGGAAACACGAAATGACCTGTCGACATACCCGCCACCAAGCGGTGGAAAAGGCGGCGCATACCAGAAAGGAGTAGTGGGATCAAGCGCCGACGTGCGGCGAGCGTAGAAAGGTCTCGGATGTACGCGGCGGCGCTGCGGTCGTATGAGCTCGAGGGTCTGACCGGTTCCGAGCGTTCCGAAGGCCCTCGGCGAGCAGGTTTAGCTTGCGGTTTGGCCGTTTGGTACCACGAAGTGGCTCCCGTTCTGAACTGATCTTTACCCCGTGTTTGCTGTCGTCTGGCCAATGAAGTGTCATGCCGAATTGGTGTTTAGTCACGCAGCAAATGCAGTGCGAGGCGCCCTGGCCGCCCGCTTCACACAGCCTATCCAACACATGCTTTAGTGGCGACCTCTCGAGCCGTCAACACGGAGTGCGGCAGCCGTGAGCGCTCGCTAAGCTCACTACCCCTCCTTTAGTTCACGGCCACTCAAGCAGGGACCAAGGGCGTCACGAAGGAGGTTATTTTTTGCTTGTTTTTGCAATTTTAATTCGCCTATAACTTCTAAAATAAAGCGAAATTCGAGAAAAGAAAAGTTTAATTAAGTTACTACGTTCAGTGCGCTCAGGTTCGGCGCAAATGAAAAACCAGTCAAAAAGTTGTTGCAGGGCCCCTGTAAAGGGGCACTGACACCCCAAGGGTTTTATTTTTTATTGTCTAAAACGATGCAAGTTGTAGTCATAAAACAAAACGCATCGTAAAAAAAAAAAAAAAAAGTTTCCCCACGCACGCGCGCGCCTTTTTATTTTTGGCGTTTTCCTCTCCCGCTTTTCGCCTCCTCGCTTCTTTTGATTCGTGACGTCAAAAATCATGAAATTTAGAAGCTTTGTAGGCGACATTTCTATAACATTTAATAACGGCAATCGTAAAACATGTTTTTTTTTTATCGCAGTTGCGAACGCACTACGGCCCTTTTTCAAATACCAAAAATGGGAGTCCGGTGTGATGTCGCCTTCTGGAATTGTCCAAACCTCGAAAAACATGCCGCCTGGGCAGGCGCTCGCCGCTCGCACGGAATAAAACCGGTCCGCCGGCGCCCTTATCTCTCCCGCTCCTTTCGTCCTCGCTTTGGGTCGCGGCGGCAACAGCACGGAGTCGTGAAAAAAAGTAGACTGGTGTCCGCAATATTTGACGTCAACGCACCGGCGCGGATCGCGCGGGAACTTCGAATTGGGCATTTGGAAATTGTTTTTTTACTTCACAAATACTGAATTCCCAAGTTTCGAATTTTGAAGGTAATGTCCCGGCATCGTTTTCAATCGTTTCGGAGTAGGCATGGCAATTTTTAGAGCACAATGTTCGGAGGAAGGTCAGGAACAAGGAGGAGTCTCTAGCTCCACGCCTAGTTTCGCTTTCGAATATTTGCCCTTCGCGCACTATTCGTCAGAAAAGGAAAAGGAAAAAGGCGCTACCATGCAAGTGCTCAAGTATCGCGCGCGTGGTGCTCCAAAATGCTTGGATTTGCCAATAGATCGATCTCCCTGCGGCCTCCGAGATTATTGGCGCTCGAAGCCCCCCTCCGGCCCTTTCTTAGCGCTCGTTTGCCCAGCAGAAGGAGCGAATAGCGCAACTCATCTAGAGCTCCGCAAGATTAATTGTGCCGATACAAAGCCGGCATCAGCATATAAAGGCTGAGACAAGATTCAAGTGCCCAGCGGCGTAGACTTTCCATTTTCCCGGGGGGGGGGGGGGGGGGGGGGGCTGCTGCTGCGCGTTATTTTTTCGCCAGAACTGGAGATTCAAGCTAACGAAAGCACGCTGGGATTCCATTTCCCATGTATTATGTCAATAAAAGCAATGTGGGCGTTATTTTGTTTACATGCCACTACTACAGAAGCTCGTTACATGGCACGTAAACAGCGTCAATTTCCCGGCTAGATTTAGCGGGGAAACTTACTCTTAAGCGCCCGTTTCCGGCTTGAGCGGCGTCGCCGCTCAAGCCGGAAACGGGCGTCTAAGAGCTGCGCTCTAAAACTGCCTAACCACGTTTACCGGATCCAAAAGCAGAGAGGAAAAAGAAAACGAAAAGTCGTACATCATAACCGCCTGAAGAGATTATTTGATGTGAAGCATCCCACTATGCTGCCTATGTATAAACGCAATTCGAATAACGACCTGGCTACACCTTCCCGAGAACTCCCAGAATACCCAGACATCATCGACACAAGTCGTGAGAATGATAGCTATGAGTATGCTGACGATGAATATGCGGACGCAGTCGAAAATCTGTCACCGGTCGATACCGTTTACTATTCCCCTGCAGTTGACGCAGCTGAGGATCCGCCGCTGATCGACGTAACTGAGACGCTTCCAGTAGGCGACCTCAAGAATGAAAGTCATCTTGATGACTCAGAGGATTCACGTGACGATGATATCCAGTTCCATTCATCCTCGGCAAACGAGAGCGACCTACCAGACGACGCTCAACTTGCGGTCGCCGTCTTTGTGCCCCGACGGCTATACACCGATGGAACCTCCCGCCTTCGCGGTGGACGTGACGCGGTCATACTAGAACCGCGGTATGAGCTTCGACCACGAGACACTTTGAGGCGGCCTGCGCGGTACTCTGACTAAAACTCTCGCGGATGATCAACTAAGTTCCGGGACGGCGACTCTTGTGACGGGGGGATGGTGTAACGGCATGCGTGGACCAAGGGCGAAGCGAAAAGAAGTGCGTCCGCGTGCAAGGAATGGCGAACGCTGAGACTGTATTTTTAGCCTGCGTGTTTTTCCAACAATAAAAAGTCTTGGGCTCGTTACACACACACAAATATATTTAACAAAGTAAAAAAAGAAAAAAAGTCAAAGCCGTTTTCAACTCCCTGTAACGCCGAATTGGAGCGCAGCTCTTGAGGAGGAGGAGTGAAGGGTACTGAGGGGAGGGTAGACCCCTCCTCCTCCTTCTCCTCTTCCCCTCATTCTTTAATATGCTCCGGGGGGGGGTCACCTGACCTCGGGGGGAGAGGGTCACGTGACCTGGGGGGTGTCACGTGACTTCGGGGGGAGGGGTGGGTCACGTGACCTCGGGAAGGGGGCTACGTGACCTCGGGGGGTCACGTGACCTTGGGGGGTCACGTGACCTTGGGGGGTCATGTGGCCTTGGGGTGTCACGTGGGGGTCGCGTGACCTTGAGGTGACCTTGGGAGGGGACACGTGACCTTGGGGGGTCACGTGACCTTGGGGTGACCTTGGTTACGCCGACGCCGCTCAAGCCGGAAATGGGCGCCTAAGAGCTGCGCTCTAAAATGAAAGCCGTTTACAATTCCCTGTAACGTC